GTCAGGGCTACTGATAGGATTGGCACATGGGAATAAATATCCTTCCTAGAAGTGGACTCAGAGCTACTTTTATGACTTGGGGTTGGCGTTCCTATTCCCGTGTCTCGTTAAGGGGCCTTTTTAAGTCATCCTCACCGACCATTTAACTACCCTTCAGGCGAAATGGGGATAGTGAGCAAAGGCGGCAAAGGTAGTTTAAGTCAGCACTTTGTCTTACGGAAACGCTGGTTATAGGGATTTTGAAGGTGGGGAAATAGGATAGGGAATAAAGGAAATTTGTAGAAATAAGTGTAAATTGGGAAAATGTAGTTGAACTTGTTTCCCGCGGCCGCTCAGAGTAAGGAGGTCTGCATGAAGATTGAAGGTGCGCGCGGCGCGGACTATACTAATCTAACTCCAGAACCGTAAGTTGGACTTCAGGTAAGTTGAAGTAGACAACTTCCTAAGCACCAATTCTATTTTTTAGGCATTTCAAGAAACCTGCATTTTGATAATCGGGTTTTTCGAAATACGTTAAACGATAATACAGATTAAGAAAATCCACAGATAAAAATCAACAACATTTCTTAATAAAATAAAACAAAAATAGATATAGCAGTTATTAAAGTATATTACACTACCTATCCTAATCCCCCACCAATGAAACCGCTATAATTACCGTTTCCGTAGGACAAAATGTTGGGACTAGGGGTAGATGAAGTGCACTACTTAAACTACTGTTGCCGCAGAGGCAATGATAGTGACGATGTAAACTAAGACCCGATTCCGGATCACGGCCAGCCATAGCCGAGTCAGCTTTGGTAAATTACCGCGTTAAAATACCTGAAAACTGTTGGAAAGAGCTGTGTTGATCTGTCAGCCGTTGGTTATAATATCCCTGTCTACAATCAGTCGCTCGTTGAGCCATAACCAACTCTGTGTACTCTGACCGTGGCCGCGGGATAATAGAGACGAACCAGAATCTGCGGCGTTCTCCCTACAGTCAAGATGAATCAACGGACACTGACTGATTGACAGCAATGGGCTGCGGAAAAAGGAGATTGCGCTTCTTTTCATCAAAATTATTATATACACGTTTAAGCA